TTCACTTTCTTTTTAATGTTGAGAAATTAGTCTTTTCCGATCGATTTTCCGAGACTTTAGCTTGCAGTCTCTTTGCTTTGATCTATTTACAAAACCGGAAGGCGGTGGGAGGAAAAAATCCTTAAATAAGAGACACGGGGGAATGATTAATGGACTTCAATGTCTGTACACTAATGCGCAAAGCATGGGAAATAAACAAGATGAGCTTGAGCTCTTGGTACAGCAAACTAAATATGACATAATAGGCATCACTGAAACCTGGTGGGATAAGTCCCATGATTGGAATGTAATAATGGGGGAATACAATCTATTTCAGAGAAACAGACCAGACAAGAAAGGAGGAGGAGTGGCATTATATGTCAGGAATGTGTATACCTGTGAAGAGATCCAAGATTTAGAACCTCAAAGCCAAAGTGAGAGCATTTGGGTCAAAATTAAGGGAGAGAAGAATAACAGTGACCTCATTGTGGGAGTTTACTATAGATCCCCAAGCCAAACGGAGGACATAGATGATGCCTTCCTGGAACAGATGGCCAAGCATGCAAAAGGAAGGGAGATAGTAGTAATGGGGGACTTCAATTACCCAGATATTTGTTGGATGTCAAACTCAGCCAAGAGCATAAGGTCAAACAGATTCCTCACTGGCCTTGCAGATAACTTCATTGTCCAGAAAGTGGGAGAAGCAAGAAGAGGAACAGCCATTTTAGATCTGGTCCTAACCAATGTTGATGACCTGGTTAGTGGGGTAGAAGTGGAAGGATCATTAGGCGCGAGTGATCATGCTCTTCTGAATTTTACTATACAGCGGAAAGGAGCAGCCAAGCATACTAGGACTCAATTTCTTGACTTTAAGAAAGCCGACTTCATAAAACCTAGGGAAGTGCTGGGTGAGATCCCATGGACAGTAATACTAAAAGGAAAGGGAGTTCATGATGGCTGGGAGTTTGTTAAGAGGGAGATAGTAAAAGCACAACGTCAGGCAATACCAATGAGACGGAAACATGGAAGGTGCCTAAAGAAGCCAGGGTGGCTATCTAAAGAACTTTTAACTGAGTTAAGATTAAAAAGGATGTGTACAAAAATGGAAAAGGGGGAAACCACCAAAGAGGAATTCAAACAAATAGCCAGCACGTGTAGACACAAAGTCAGAAAAGCTAAAGCACAGAATGAACTCAGGCTTGCTCGAGAGGTTAAAAGCAACAAAAAGGCTTTTATGGGTATGTTCGTAGCAAAAGGAAGAACAAAGAAACAGTGGGGTCACTCAGAGGAGAAGATGGTGAAATGCAAACAGGGGACACAGAAAGGGCTGAACTCCTCAATGCCTTCTTTGCCTCAGTCTTCTCCGATAAAGAAAACAATGCCCGACCTGAAGAATTTGAAGCAAATGATTCAGCAAAGGAAACACAGCCCAGAATAACTAAGGAGATAGTACAAGAATACTTGGCTAGTTTAGATGTATTCAAGTCTCCAGGGCCAGATGAACTGCATCCAAGAGTATTAAAAGAACTGGCAGATGTGATCTCAGAACCACTGGCAGTCATCTTTGAGAATTCCTGGAGAACAGGCAAAGTCCCGGCAGACTGGAGGAGGGCAAATGTTGTCCCTATTTTCAAAAAGGGGAAAAGAGAGGACCCAAATAATTATCGCCCAGTCAGTCTGACATCAATACCAGGGAAGGTTCTGGAGCAGATCGTTAAGCAAACAGTCTGTGAGCACCTAGAAAGGAATGCTGTGATCACCAATAGTCAGCATGGATTTCTGAAAAATAAGTCATGTCAGACTAACCTGATCTCGTTTTTTGACAGAATTACAAGCCTGGTAGATGAAGGGAACGCAGTGGATGTAGCCTACCTTGATTTCAGCAAGGCATTTGACAAGGTGCCCCATGATATTCTTGTAAAGAAGCTGGTAAAATGCGGTCTTGACTATGCTACCACTCAGTGGATTTGTAACTGGCTGACTGACCGAACCCAAAGGGTGCTCATCAATGGTTCCTCTTCATCCTGGAGAAGAGTGACTAGTGGGGTGCCACAGGGTTCTGTCTTGGGCCCGGTCTTATTCAACATCTTTATCAACGACTTGGATGATGGACTCAAGGGCATCCTGATCAAATTTGCAGATGACACCAAACTGGGAGGGGTGGCTAACACCCCAGAGGACAGGATCACACTTCAAAATGACCTTGACAGATTAGAGAACTGGGCCAAAACAAACAAGATGAATTTTAACAGGGAGAAATGTAAAGTATTGCACTTGGGCAAAAAAATGAGAGGCACAAATACAAGATGGGTGACACCTGGCTTGAGAGCAGTACATGTGAAAAGGATCTAGGAGTCTTGGTTGACCACAAACTTGACATGAGCCAACAGTGTGACGCGGCAGCTAAAAAGCCAATGCAATTCTGGGCTGCATCAATAGGAGTATAGCATCTAGATCAAGGGAAGTAATAGTGCCACTGTATTCTGCTCTGGTCAGACCTCACCTGGAGTACTGTGTCCAGTTCTGGGCACCACAGTTCAAGAAGGACACTGACAAGCTGGAACGTGTCCAGAGGAGGGCAACCAAAATGGTCAAAGGCCTGGAAACGATGCCTTATGAGGAACGGCTAAGAGAGCTGGGCATGTTTAGCCTGGAGAAGAGGAGGTTAAGGGGTGATATGATAGCCATGTTCCAATATATAAAAGGATGTCACATAGAGGAGGGAGAAAGGTTGTTTTCTGCTGCTCCAGAGAAGCGGACACGGAGCAATGGATCCAAACTACAAGAAAGAAGATTCCACCTAAACATTAGGAAGAACTTCCTGACAGTAAGAGCTGTTCGACAGTGGAATTTGCTGCCAAGGAGTGTGGTGGAGTCTCCTTCTTTGGAGGTCTTTAAGCAGAGGCTTGACAACCATATGTCAGGAGTGCTCTGATGGTGTTTCCTGCTTGGCAGGGGGTTGGACTCGATGGCCCTTGTGGTCTCTTCCAACTCTATGATTCTATGATCCTGTTTGAGCCTCCCCGCTTCAGTGCCAAATTAAATCTTTCCCCCCCTTTAAAATCTTCCAATTTATCCTACTCACGGGTAGTTACTTTTAAAATCCAATTGTCCACAGGAAAAAGTCAGTGCTCTCCGGCAACGGCTGTGCAGCTTCGCTCCGTGGAAAAAGCAGTCGATTCACAGCACCGCGCCACTCACCCCGCTTCGCTCCGGAGCCCCAAAATTGGGGTTCCCCACGAATATGGGGGGGTGTAAAAGGTTCCCGCCGAATCCCACGTTCACAGGCTTCACCCTCCTGTGATTTTTGAAGGGTTTCCGCCTTCGCCGTGACAGCCAGACCCGGTTCCCACAGAGGAAATTCCTCCTAGTCAGAGGAATTCCTCCATTACCGATGGCGCTGACCCCGGAAGTCTCTGGAATTTGCTATTGTTGGGCCGAGTTGCTGTGGTGGGGACGAGGGTTGCGGTGAGGTCGGGGATGTTGCTTTTGTTTCAAACATTGCAAGGTTTGGATGGGAGGGATCATTTCAGGAGGTGGCAGAGGGATGTCCCTAGATCTGTATGGCAGGGCAGGAAGCCTCGAGTAAAATGTAAGATATTAACGGATGCTAAAGAAGGAGGTGGACTTGCCCTGCCAGACCTCTAAATTTTATTGTGAATCATCTGCTTTTTGCTGGCTGAGAGAATCGGCAGAATCCGAGACCAGCGAGAAGAGCTGGTGGAAGAAGATTGGAAGTTTAAAGACTATTTATAGAAATATTGCAAAATTAATGAATGTTAGAACAAAGTGGGAATGAAGTTATATGGCTTTAGCAGAAATGTTAATAAATGTTATTTATTAAGTATAAATAGATTAATTGAGCATTAAAGGGAATAAAATAAGGTTAGAATCTGTTAAGATAATTATAGGATAGAAAACAGAGGAAGATGGAAAGGAATTGCTGAAATAATTAATTGATGTGGAATACAAAAAGGGAGGTGTGAGGAAGTCGTGGAAATAAGCGAATGAAAGATATGACATTGAAATTGTTTAAAATGGTCTTTGTTTTGTTTTATATGTCTTGCATTGTATTGTGTTGTTTTCTGTTTGTTGTTTCTTTTTGCTTCTTTGCTTTGTTTAACTCTTTTTCTTTTTTTTTGGTAACTTTTAAACTCTTAATAAATATTATTTAAAATAAATAAATAAATAAATAAATAAATAAATTCCAAACAAGGCTGAACTAGCCACATGAACCAGTCGTCAACCTGAAAGTTGGAAAAGGGTAAATGGCTTTCAAATGCAGCAGAAGTTACATTATTACCCATAGGAACAGTTTGCCAACAGTCACTGTACAGAGCCGGACCAACACAGTTTGCTGCCTGAAGCAAAAACGGTGCCTCTCCTATCCCATTCCATGTACAGCAGCCAATTGAGCTGGCAGCTGAGTCTTACCATGGGGCATCAACTTCCACAGCATCTGAGGGTAGCAGGCTCACCTAGGAGGTGCAGGAGAGGCAGAATGGCACAGCAAGGTGGGGGTGGGCAAGCAGGAAGATGAAGCTCACAGGACCCCTACCAAGCACACATTTTGCTGCTTCTCCTCACTCTGGACCATGATGCTTAAGAACAAACAACACAAAATGCCATGGAATGGGCAATGTTAGTAATATTATTAAAAGTCAGAAAAACTAATAATCGGGTAAGGCAAAGATCAAATTTGTGAATCTAGTGGAATAGGCCACTAAGTCAAAACTGACCACCATGTGCATCATGGAGTGATGACCGGGGAGGGGGGGCCTTGACTGCCTCATTGATATGGCCAGATGGTGTTCTGCAGACCAGCCACACTGTGGTCCATGGCTGTGTCCCAGGCACCAATCAGGTAGGCCAGCTGAGCTCCTGGGGGTGGGACCTCGGGGCAGACTGCAGGAAGAGCCTCTCCCCTCTGGTTTGGGTCAGCTCCAAACGAGAAGAGCTGGCATGCCTTGTGACAATTGCCATCTTGGCCCTGAACTTATTGAATTCTTGTTTTGCAGCACTCAGCCTTTGCTTTGGAGAAAGATTGGCCCCCGGTTGATGGAGCTGGGCATTGGGGGAGGGGATTTTGCCTTCCCCAGAGCCCTGTTATTCTTGGCATGGATGTTACATTTATTGATGATGTTGTCCTTAGTTTCTGGCAGGTGCTGCAGGCATTGGGCTCCCTGCTTCTCAATGGGGACTCTCTTGAGGAGGTGTTTGGGTGTTGCTTCTGGACCCAAACCAGCTTTGACCCTGGAATGCCTGTGACCTGCAGGATGGCAATAGTGGCTCATGAACTCAAAGTTCTCTGACCTTCCACTAACATTTCCCAGCCTGCAGATTGGCTGCGTGCTTCTGCCCAGAGCCGGGCTGCCCAATATTTGGATCCTTGCACCCTCTGCTAGGTCAAAGTGGCTTAGTTGTAACCAGTAAAGTTCTGGCCATTTCTCTTTCTTTGTGGGATTGTTGCTGTCCACACCCGGAGCACAAATGGTCAAACTGCAATTTGCTACATTCCGTAGTCACAAGGAAATCAAAACATTTTCTTTTGTTTTCTCAGACTCAAAAGCTTTATTAGTTTGACTGCAGATCAGACAGAGAGGAAAATTCTAATGTTAAATTCATTTTTGTAATAACTATAAACAATTACAATTACAATTACATGTAAAAAAATTATTAGAAACCATTTACATATAAAATGGTTTTGTCCTGTAGTAGTCTATGGATCAGTGATAATCAAAAATGAACAATAGTCTAATTTAGCAAAGCGTATTGTTATATTAATACAAAGAGATGGTTGGTATAAGTAAGAAATTCAGGAGCCTTATATTATTTGTGTGGGACATTTGCAAGAAGCCTTACACTTTCCCATTATAGGATGATCACATCCCACTTGATCCTTTAAGCTTGCGCAGTTGCTATAAAGATTTCTTTCCGTGCATGGATTGGCTAAAAATGAGAGAGAGAGAGAGAGAGAGAGAGAGAGAGAGAGAGAGAGAGTTACAAACGAGAAAATTTAAACAAAACAAAAATGACTCTCTCGGAGCGCTTCCTGCTGGATCAGACTAAATGTTCAAGATCCTAGCAAACTCTGGGGACCAGCTGGTGTTGAATATTTGTTTTTAAGAGAAGGGTTATGGTTTTCATGTACAAGGATTAGTTGGATAATTTCACAAACTTCTTTAAGGGCACTCAGAGTTTGCCAGTATCCTTTTGCCTCATAATAGTTTAACATTCTCAAACTTACTGCACAATCCCTTGTCACAATCATTTGGGCAGCGCCCACAGGGTTCTCCTGCTTCGTAGGGGGTGGCAATCTTGCCTTTGATGTTCCCTCTGGAATGATAAATGAAAACCAGCAGTTTATATCTTTTTTCCCCCTCTGTCTTGAGAGATGGCCTTCTTAAATGGCACCAGTTGCTCAATCTTCCACACAACAAATATGTTAGGAGGGGAAGGGGCTGTGTGGGGTATAGAAGAGAACAGCTGGCTAGAGGAGTTGATGCCCACTCCAAAAACAGATGTTGGCCACTGCATCAGGGCAGTGGGATCTTTTCCAGCCCAAGGGCCACACTGCATTCGGGAGAGCTTTCCAGGGGCCACATTCCAGTGTTGGTTAGGGCCAGTACCATTAACATTAACGTAAAGCCTACTTTCAACACACATTCACACACCCCTCTATCATTCATCTAGGCACCAAGCGAGTAACTTGCTCCCACAAAGGCTGGGGGCAGACTGAGGCCTTCTATTCGGGTGCTTCTTTCAGGCTCCAGAGCTGCTTCAGAGCCTTAAAGGGACAACCCCCTGGCCACTGGCACTCTTCCTTCATTCCTTAACCTCACCTCTGGTTTGCTTCTGGCACGCAGCGGCATCGTGTTGTTTGGCGATGCCTGGGGTGGCTGCACGTGCATGCCAGGCAGAGGCAGGGCGCTGAGGATGAATAGAGCCTGCCACGCCAACCCGGCCCTCACCACTGGAGCCAAGCGGGGTGTGCTGTGCTGCTTCCCCTCTGTGCAGGGGGAGCCCAGCTGGCTGACACAACCCTTGGTGGCTGATTCTCCCTGATGCCCGCAGAGAGAAGCGCTGGGCTGGGCCATGCTGGGGTTGCCCCTTGCCTACATCCCTCTGTCCGAGCCTGCTCATTAAGCAAGGAGCGAGTGAGCCCTGGCTGGGCAGCCATTTAGTGAGGGGGCCAGGGACACAGCATTGAGGCTAGGCCCAGAGACCCCTGGCAGCAGGCAGGGCAGGATGGGGGTCCTTGGGGGGGCACCTAGTTTGCACCCCCTCAAAATTGTGTGCCTGGGGCCACGGCCTCCCTGGCCCCACCATGCTATGCCCCTGGTGGAAGGGGCCTGTGAGGGTCCAGACTCTGGCCCTATAGGCCCTAGTGACCTGGGGTGTTCCTCTGGGTGTTCTTGTCCATCTGCAGCAGCTGTCTCCCCATCTTCCATCGTTAGACTGCCCTGAACCCTGAGCCACAGTCATCTCCACACTGGATGCCACTGCAGCCTCCAACTGTCTGTCCGGATCAGGGATGCATACAGGGGTCATAACAAACACTGTTTGGGGTGGGTCATGGCCAGGTTTGATCAGAAAAATCAACAACACTCAAACAAAGCAATACAAAACAGAACAGAACATTTTGTGCCTTGGAAGTTATGGGGTGAAGAAACCAAACCATATTAGCTACTTTGGGCAAAAAGAATTCACAGATTTTATTTAACTGTTCCAGTAACCATCCAATGAAATCCACATGACCTCGGCCAGATCATTCCAGCTCCCAGCAGAGGGCTTTGCTACCCAAAGTTTAACTGGCAGGCACTGAAGATCAGGGCTTAATTTAAGCTAAGGTTGAAGCCCCAAACTTCTTTTCTTAATGAGAGGTCAAGTCTCAGGGCTGTTTGTGCAGTGTTTTTTTGAGGATATGCCAATTCATTGCTGTTGCTGTTGTGGAATCATATTCAGCCTCTGCATAACTGCGATTAGAGAAAAGGGTTACAACGCCCCCTTCCTCACCCTGCAACATGGCTGCAACGGCCCCATAGCTCTGGGAGCTCAGTCTGCCATCACCCTGCAGTTCACAGTGCCACCTGCTGGCAGCCAAGTGAACTGCCATGAGACAATACTTTTACCTGTTTATTGTGTAAGATATATTCAGCAATGAATATGAGACATAGGGTAGATTTAAACACAGGGGGGAAACGCTATAAATTAGTCAGAAATCAGATCATTTTAACAAAAGAAAAAATTCCTATGAGAAATGTAGTTTTAAACAATTACTGCTCTCTGGCGCCATCTGGTGTTGCATGTTTAAAACACATTCAGTTCCTTGTTTCTTTACTAAGGTAGCTGAGTCCCTAGTGACATATGAGGAAGGCCGCAAGTAGGGAAGCACCAATATGAATAGGTAAACAAAACTAGTGGCAGGTTATGTGCTGCACCCAACTAAATAGATTTGTTTTGCTTAACAATTTTCCTATCCTCCTGTAGTAGAGGAAACCACCACATAGGAGCAAGATGCTGCAGGCTGCATTGAAAAGAAAGGAAAGCAATTACTGAAAGGAACTACACAGCAGTAGTACTTTGAGCATATAATATGTTTCGTTTGCGCTTTGGAGGTCAAGATTGAAATCTGCCAACTGTGTAGGATTGACCCCTGCAGTTGGCTGCCCTCATGGAGTTGTGTCATTCACATGCACCTCCAGGCACAGGGGACCACATTATGCAGAAGAAAATCCCAGGTGGCTGCTGCCAAGAGAGAAGGCAGAGAAGGGAAACTCATTCCCATATGCACCAGAAAAGGATCCTTACTGTACCTCTCAGTACTGACAGAACATATAAATGGCATGAAGCAGACTCTGGCGGGCAATAGGTATAGAACAGGGGTCGGCAAACGAAGGCCCACGGGCCAGATCAGGCCCCATGGCCTTCAGGATCTGGCCCGCGGACTGTTTGTGGATCAGCGTGGGGATTATGTTCGTTTGGGCTGCGGCATTCCATTGCCCACTTCTCCCTCCCACACACACCGCGGTGGCGCCTCCTCCCTCCCTCCCTCCTCCTGGCTTCTCCCTGCCCTGCCTAGAGGAGGAAGGGGGCTGGGCTGAGCTGGCTGAGCACCATTTTCAGCAGCCCCTCTCTGGAGCCAGCCCTTTTGCGCCGCTCATCTTCCCTCCGCCGCCCTGGCCCTGTTGCTCCTGTGGGCCAGAGAGTGGAGCGGATGTGCTCATCTTCCTACCCACGAGAAGAAGCAGCAGCGGTGGTGGTGGTGGCAGCCCCAGGGAAGGTAAGCGCAGCGGCTGTGGCTGGGGTGGGGTGGGGAGGAGGACTACTTGCCCCCCTCGCCTCTTCTTCCAGCTTCCCCACTGTTCTGCTTCTCTTGCCCACCACAAGGTCTGAGGGACAGTGGACGGGCCCGCCACTAATTTTTTTTGCTGACCCCTGGTATAGAGCTTGAAGGAAACTGGAAGCAGCAGGGTGGAGTCTGGCTGAATCTGGTTTTCCAGTCCCCTGTGAGGATTTCTCAAAAAAGTACAATGTTATTGGTCAATGGTACAGAATACAGGTTAGCTGCTAACCCTAAACTTAAAGATAAAAACAGCATTGCAAGAGGCAGCAAGTTCTTCTGTTAATACATACGCAGGACTGTACTGGCAAACATAGTAGTACTGGTATTCTTGGTCTGGGCAGAAGGCAATAGCACATCCGATTAGATGTGAAATATACCAAACCACCTGCAGATACACAAATGAACATGAATGTGATCACACTGTAAATCTGAGTGCACACCATGACAACCTTAAGGAGTATTGAAATGGGCCCTTCACATCCTATCTCCGTGCTGCAATTCTATTGCACAGATCCCACCTTCCCCTAACATGTACAGTGCAATAGGTTTGCCTTTAAATGCAAACTGAATAGAATTCCCCTCCTACATCCCTAGTAAATAATAAAGATGATTCATCACAAATCAGTCTAAGAGACATGCACTGATGCAAACCTCTCCTATAGAATCGGCAGTTTGTGCAATGTATTCAAACTTGCTTCCCATAAAGAGCTGTTCAGGAGTAAAAACCTCTCTGTCTACCTTGCAAAGGCATTTGGGTCCATGTGATTTGTTTCAAATACTCTTGTGAACTGCTTTGAGAAATTTAAGATAGCAAAATAGTTTATTTTAAAAAAATAATTGGAAACCTCAAAAAGTATGAAGATGTTAGCCAGGTAGTGAACGTTTCTTTTACCATGGCGCAACATTCAGCAAGGCTAATGCATTTTGGATATTGTCATTGAATTTCAAGCTTAGGCTTAACTGATTTTGAAATTTTTTGACAGTATCCTCAGTTACATTTCTTGGGCTTTGAGAACTGACATATTTTGCTATATTTGTTCTGCTATAATAACTGATATCTCTGCTTGCTAGTCTGCCCCTTCCAAACACTTTTGAAACAGCTAGTTAAATTTGTAAATAAATAGTTCAAACTTTTAACCTCTGACCAGTGTCATAGTACCTGAGTGTAATGGCCAATCACGGCTCCTTCCGTCTTTGCTCCAGAAGCATACAGAAAGTCATCTCTTTCATTATACCAACTCAGAATGGCTTCAGTCCAACTCTTGAGGGAAGTTGACATGAAGAGATTTTCACCACAGGATGTGCCATCTGCAAGTGGAAAAACAATTATTTACAAGAACTTGAAGGCTTGCCTACTTCTGCATGTGCTTCAGGAAAAGTAGCATTTATACTGTCTAGGACAGGGGTCTGCAAACTAAGGGCCACGGGCCGGATCAGGCCCGATTGCCTTCAGGATCCAGCCCGCAGACTATCTGTGGATCAGCATGGGGATTCTTTTGTTAAGGCTGTGCCATTTTCCCCCTGCGCCATTCCATCCCCCCCCTGCGGCGGCGCCTCCTTCCTCCCTCCTCCTGGCTTCTCCTGCCCTGCCTAGAGGAGGAAGGGGGCTGGGCTGAGCTGGCTGAGCACCATTTTAAGCAGGCCCTCTCTGGAGCCAGCCCTTTCGCGCCGCTCATCTTCCTGCCCCCGCTGCCCTGGTGTTCCTGCGGAGCGGACAAGCTCCCTCTGCCTACCCACGAGAAGCAGCAGCAGTGGCCCCTGGGTAGGTAAGCGCAGCGGCTGGGGTTGGGGGGTGGGGAGGAGGACTATTTGCCCCATCACCTCTAATTCCAGCTCCCCCCCATTGCAGCTTCTCTGCCCGCCACAAAGTCTGAAGGACAGTGGACTGGCCCGCGGCTAAATTTTTTTGCCAACCCTGGTCTAGGACTTAGTTTCTTTTCTATAAATCTGTAATGACCTTACCCCTAATTCTTTTTTTAACACAACTTATTTATTGGTTTTCCACAAAAAACTACAAAATTTAACATTCTTCCTTTGTTGAAACCTCTCCTTTATCTTTATACTGAGACCTGCTGCCTCTGACAGTAAACATAAAACATAGTACAGTGGTGCCCCGCAAGACGAATGCCTCGCAAGACGAAAAACTCGCTAGACGAAAGGGTTTTGCGTTTTTTGAGTCGTTCCGCAAGATGAATTTCCCTATGGGCTTGCTTCGCAAGACGAAACGTCTTGCGAGTTCTTGCGAGTTTGTTTCCTTTTCTTAAAGCTGCTAAGCCGTTAATAGCCGCTAAGCCGCTAATAGCCGTGCTTCGCAAGACGAAAAAACCACAAGACGAAGAGACTCGCGGAACGGATTAATTTCGTCTTGCGAGGCACCACTGTAATAGAATCACAGACTCATAGAACTGTAGAGTTGGAAGGGACCCCAATGATCACTGTGTTCAGCCCCCTGCAATGCAGGAATCTCATCCAAAACATCCATGACAGATGGCCAACCAACCTCTGCTTAAACACCTCCAGTGATGGAGAGCCCTCCACCTTCCGAGGTGGAGGTCCATTCCACTATCAAACTGCTCTTATATGTGAATGAAAGGGCCAGGAAGTCTCTCCCCTGACATTACATGGTTTTGCAACCCCTAATCTTTCTGACACAGCACATATGGAAGGCCCTGAGGTGTTGCTCTTGGCGGGTGTTAGTTGCCCACAACTCACTTCCATGCAGCAGTGTACTGAACATGCAAGCCTGGTAGACTTTCTTCTTGGTGTTGATCCTTAGCATCCCATTCTCCTATACCCTTTTGGAGAGGCGAGCCTTTGCCATAACTGCCTTGTCAATATGGTTGCCCAGCTTAGTGTCACTGGAGAGATTACTGGTTATGGTGGAACCCAAGTAGGCAAAACCCTCTGCCATCTCAAGCATGTGGTCACCAATGCTGTTTACGTGGCGTGCTGGTGGTCTTCTCAGCCTATCAGCTTTGCAGTGAAATGCATCCACCTCTAAATGGCAGAGGTTTCTGCATACAGGGTACACAGAAGTATGCTCACTTGTAAAAATTGAAAGGAAATAAATCTAAATAGGCACAAACCAAAATAGCCTGACAAGGACCGGCGATCACTGTCTTGCAGAACCCACAGAAGTTTGGAAGCATGGGGCCATGGAATATTGAGGGTGTTGGCAGAGAGACTGAGAGGGAGAGAGAATAAGGGCTCATCCACACTTCTCCTTGTCTTGCTGCCTCCCCCTGGGAAAACCTGCTGTTTACCACTGAATCAGAACAAACAACAATTGGTTTTTCTGCAGAGTGGTGGGTTTTCTCAGGGAAAGTGGTGGGACAAATGAAAAACTACTCAGACCTGTGTTTGGGAAGCAGAAACCTCTTGGGGGCCTGCTTTGTGGGCACAGGACAGGCAGAAATGGGGACGAGCCCAGAGAGGGAGAGACAAGGGGAGGAGGAGGAAAGGTACCTTCTTGAGCTCCTGACTCAAGGTTTCAGGAGAAAGAAGAGGACAGAAGAGGAAAGGGAAGGGGGAAATGTTCCTTTTCATACTCTTTGGAAAGTTTCTGCCTGCTATAGACCAACAAAAGGCTCAACTTCAGGGCTGACACCAATCTCAAACTTTAGCACTTCAGCACTTTTACATGATAGTGGGGTCAGCTTTCAGGATGGTGGGAAGGAGAAAAGTGTTCTTTCCCCCCTTTCCCCCTTGGAGATTCCCCCCACCCCTGTTCTGTCAGACTCCCTTTCAAGTTATGGCAACACTGCAAGATTTCACTGTAGTTCCTCACTTGGGCATTCATATGTATACAGTGGTACCTCACAAGACGAATGCCTCGCAAGACGAAAAACTCGCAAGACGAAAGAGTTTTTCGTTTTTTGAGTTGCTTCGCAAGACGAATTTCCCTATGGGCTTGCTTCACAAGACGAAAACGTCTTGCAAGTTTGTTTCCTTTTTCGTAAAACCGTTAATACCCAGGGTGCATTGCTTGAAGAGGTGCAGTTGCGAATTGACTTCGAGGAGCAACTCATAGCACGCTGTGTGGTAGCCTTTTTTGAGGTTTTAGAAGACTTTGGCGATTTTTGAAGCTTTTCCAAAACTTCTTTTGCAGCCATTTGGTAAGTTAAACTTTTAAAACTTTTTTTTGGGGGGGTTGGATTTTGGGTTGGGGTGTTTGGAATTCAAGGACTTGGTGTTGGGGAGGGGTTTGCAAGAATCTGGAAGCTTGTGTTTTGGGTTTTTTTTGCATTTTTATGATTTTTTGTGACCATTGGGGCACTCTGCTGTTGTTAAAAAAAAAGATTTCTGGGTTTGGATTTCTGTGTGGTGGGTGGTTGGGGGGTCAGGGAATTGTTGAGAAGGGGTTTGCAAGAATCTGGAAGCTTGTGTGTTTTCTGGGAGGTTTGGTGCTTTTGAATTTTTTGGATGTGAAGCACTGATTTTATTTGGGGGGGGGTTTGCGAAGGTAGGAGCTGTGCTGCCATGGGGCCCAAGAAGACTGCTGCTGCAGAGGCCGGCGAGAGGAAGAAGGAGAAGGTTACGCTGGAAATGAAGAAGCAGAATGGTTCCTTGGGGAGGACCATGGGCCTGGAGGTCACAGAGGAGGACGTCAGCGAGCTGGTGGAGGAGCACGACCATGAGCTGACCACCCAGGAGCTGGTCGAACTGCGCAGGAGCAGGCCTCGCTGGAAGAGGAGGAAGCAACCGAGGAATGGCTGTCCTCCAAAGAACTGAGGGACATTTGCCAGAAGTGGAAAGATGTGCAGGCTTTTGCACAGCGGCACCACCCTGACAAGGACCTGACACGTGACCTTGCGAACACTTTTGATACGAGGGTCATGTCGTCTTTCAGGGAGGTGCTGAAAAGGCGGATGAAGCAGCAGACCATGGACAGGTTCTTCAGCAAGAAGCAAAGAGTGGAAGAGGAACCTTCTTCGAGTTGTCCCCCAGAGTCTTAGAAAATGTATGTACAGTACACTTTGGTGATTTTTAAATGCTTTTCTGTCATGTTTAGAAACTTAAATTATTGTTCCTTCAATTTTTGAAATGCTCTTTACAGTATGTGTGACTTTAAAGAGCAGTTAATAAACTCTTTTTGTACCAAATTTTGCTTTGTTTGGACTTTTTTTGACCATAGGAACGCATTAATTGATTTTCAATGCATTCCTATGGGAAACCGTGCTTCACAAGACGAAAAATTCGCAAGACGAAAAAACTCGCAGAACGAATTAATTTCGTCTTGCGAGGCACCACTGTAAATGTATAACTTACAGCACCCAGGTTGTTACCTGGATACCATTTGCTATAGATGGCAGAGATTACGGCTGCTGGAAGACTTACTGGAGTATATGCAAGACATTTCAAGGAGCACAGTCTTTGGCTTGGTTCAAAAGAGAAATATGGATAGGTTTGTATGTACAGGGCAGCTTCTGTGACTCCAGTTCTGAAAAGGCATTCCCAACCCCCAAACGTTGGGAGCAAATTCCAAGACCTGCATATATTGCCTCAAGTGTGGTATGAAGATATTCAGCTGCAAAGGCCAATTGGCATATTTTAAATGTGCCACTCATGCGTTTCTTTTGATATTGGACTGAATTAAAATAAAAGTTCAAATTAATTTTTTTCAAAGAAAAATATTGCATTAAATATTTGTTATTCTCTTCTTCATGAAATAGATTTAATGTCTTCTAACAAAATTCCACTTTAAATAATCTGTTTGAACTCATATTTGCTGGAAAATGGGTTCTTTACTTACTTAGTGTTCGATCAGACGCCGCACTGTGTTCTAATGTGCATTGGTTTGCCCACCATTGTGCAATCTTTCGTATATCATCGCTCCACTCCTATGTACAGATAAAAATACATTAGTGAGTTACAAGTTTATAGAACAGTAATGCCCAGAAATGCATCAATTACCAGTGGATTTTGTAACTATGGTGATGTTGATGTTCTAGCTAAACACTGAAAGACAATTTCTCAGCTATTGGCACAAGCCTGGTTCAATAAATCATGGCCAATGGTGGAAATCAAGCCTTTTTAAAATTATAGGTATTTAGAAGCACATTATGTTCCCAGGATTTCTTTCTATGCTTCTCTTACTTATCTAGTCGAATCAAGTGCATTTTTGTTACTGCATTTGGATCTTAGTCTATTTTTGCAAAGAAAGAAAGAAAGAAAGAAAGAAAGAAAGAAAGAAAGAAAGGAAGGATGATTTATTTAGCAATGTTTTTGACATTTTTTTTCTGTAACCAAGCATTTAAGAGTGGAATTTGGGTAAACAGCAATTGCAAATAGGTCACTTAATAGGAAACTCATTGCCAGAAATGGCTAATGTTGCCAAATTCATCCATTTATTATGTTTGTGTATCTTGACTTTCCTCCAAGGAGCTCAAGGCAGCCAGCGTATGTGTTTCTTCTTCCTATTTCAGCCACACAACACTGTAAGGTTAACTAGGCTGAGAGCCAGGAGGCTGATCTGTGGCTTCATGGTTTAGTGGTACTTCAGCCTGCATCTCCTGAGACCTAGTTCGCCACTCCAATCCTTACATCACATTGGATTTACTTGTGTAGTAGTTTATGTACTCATCATCGGTTAATGGAGATAGTTGTAGCTCTGTTAATAATAATTACATTTTTTACCCACTTTTTACCAAAAACAAAATTTCAGAGTGACTTAACTAGATAAAATGCAACAGGTAAAAACAAAACCATGTTGCAATATCTTGTCCACTATATTTTGCTCTGGTTTCATAATTTTCCTACCTTAACAAATGGTCCCCCCCAGCAATTAATTTTAAAAATGCCAGTATTGTTCCTGAATACATTTCTGTTGGGTTTTCAAAATGTGTCTTACCATCTTCACCATGTTGCTAGCAGGTGGTTGGACTTCTCTCCGTAGCTTATTGTGTATGTCCACAATCTCCTTTTTCTGGTCTTCATTGATGGTGCTCAAACTAGCGAAATGGTCAGAGGCCTGCAACCAAAGAGACAGTGGCCAAGTGTTCAGATGCAACCATCTCAGACTGATAAACCATGGCCTGTGTCTGTGTGTTCCCTCCTGCTCTGCCTCCTCTACCTTTCTCTCACTCCCCTTTGCAAGTTTTCTGGCTTTGCTAAACCACAGTTTCCCATTACATCAGAACTAGGAAACTGTGAATTAAGCATCAACCAAATGCTGGTTTGCAAACCATAGCCTAACCACACTTACAACTTAAGCCACACTTTTCTGGTTGAGGCATAATGGGAAACAATGGTTTAGTAAACCCCAGAAATCTTACACCAAGGCTTGCAAGAGAAGGGAGGAAGAAGTACTCAAGGCATAATGCCCTGGTCCAATAATGAGCCATTATGGGGTTTTTTTTATGGGGTGTGTGTGTGTTCATATTTATGGAGCAACTTTTAAAATGTGAATCATGTACACTATATACATAAAGTGAAACAGAAAGAAAAGAAATTGAGACTGCGTCCTTATTGACAAGCTAAGACAGGGATGCAGATAAGAGTTCCCAGCAAATAAATCTTTTTTAGTTGATAGGTCACATGAAAATAAACTCAGCCCAGAATGGTTTACATTTGGAGACATATATTTGAACCAATGACCCAAATTTATTAAATACAAACTTATAAATTAACAGTTAAAAATAGCATTTAATTTTTACAGTAGAGAAGAACAAGAATAATGTTACAAGAGAATTATCAAGGAAAACTCCATTATAGAGAAAAAGAGAAGAAAAACATGCAGACTGTAACCACAGATGAAGTATGGGACTTTTTATTTAAGAAAGAAACTTTGTGGAGAAGTAAAATATTGGGTAAATGGGAGGGGGGCATTGTTGCTTCTTCAAAGAAAAGAAAAATGACTATTATCACATGAGGGGTTGCTGTCCTGAGGCAGAAAGTGCTTGGTGTATGGTAATTGTGCTTATCAACGAAGTCATCCAAACTGGAGTACAGTATGTTAATATAATTGTTTAATTGCACATTGGAGTGGAGGATGTTTGTATGTATGTCACAAAGGGTTTAACGTTGGAAAATTCTACTAAGCTAGAAGGAAGCTCTCTCTGAGCTCTAGCTGAGTTGTTGTTCTCTGCCAGCGTTCATGTGAGTGTTTAACTCTCCTTGATCATGTGATTAAGGCATTCCATTGCAAAGTCACCATTTTGAAAGGGAGCTGGCTTGGCCATTTGCTCCCAGACACAGTCAGGGAAGGACGTGATGATGAGGCGTCTCAAGAAGCTGCATAGCCTTCGGCTCGATGCAGGTTAGTGCAGGCCATGGGAAAAACAGAGTCTTGATTTCAGCTCTGATTGTAATTAAGTTATATATTTAAGAAGAAGAACCTATGCTTGAATATGCATATGTTTTATAAAACTTTCTGGATGGAAAAACATGGATGTTTTTGTACCTGTTTTTGAAGAAGTTCTGGTTAGTAAAACTTTGAATAATACTTATGAGTCTGGACAATTTTTGTTCCAAAAGGACTCAGTTTATATGCATCCAATTGCTTCATGCTGCACAATATTAATATCTGCAATACAGTAATATTGCAACTTGTGTGCATACAGATTTAAACTTGTGGCAATAGATAGACAGATAGATAGACAGATAGATAGATAGATAGAGGTGGAAAGGGGGCAGGGTTCCAGGAAAAAATGACTTTGGCAATCCCACCCACCTTTGAACCCAATGTGCTTTGACTCTACATGATTTTGGCTTTAGGCATGAGCCCTGGAATGTAACCCCTGCTTAAGTTGTGGGCTTACCGTAATTATTAACCCATTCATGCATCTACTGAACTTTGTAAAGTATTGGGTATCTAAAAAGCACTAGACACAAGTCTTGTATATATCCTTTGAATGGATATTATTTGCTAAAAAGAAAGACAGTAGAAAACCAGCTAAAATAGAATTGATCAGAAAATTATGGGAACCGTTAGGAATAATAAAATTGACAACAACGATGGGGAGAAAATCAAAGTGCATAAATATATGCAAAGCAATTGTGACCCTGTGATTAAAATTTATCAGTTAAATTAATCAAATAAATGTTAAGGATATCAAATGTTAAGGATATCAAGGACAGGAATCAATTTCATGCTTTTATTTGGTTTTTGTAAGACAATAGCAGTGTTATAATAAATCTAAAGTGCAAAAAAAGATACTTTGGATACCTTGGACATCTCATCACTGTCTTTTGGATTGGACCCCCCTGATAAGGAGCCAACGCTACCACCAACAGAAGAGAAGCAAGATCTGGGGGCAGTTGGAGGAGTACCAAAGTAGTCTCAGGATGGCGCTGCAGGCCCTGAGCTGGAATGTGCATGGCCTTAACATTTCAGAGAAAAGGCGACGAGTGTTTCATTTATTGAAAAAAGAGCAACTGGACTTGATTTGTTTACAAGAAACGCATATGACAAGGTTACACAGGAAATTATTAAGCAACAAAAAATTAGGTCAAGAATTTATTTCATCGGATAAAGTTAAAAAAAGAGGAGTGGTTCTCTACGCAAAGGAGAACCTATCACCTAAATTTATCTTTAAAGATGAACAAGGAAGACTTGTAGCAATTGAAATCCAATTTCAAGGAGATAAATTTTTGGTGATAGGTATCTATGCACCAAATGAAGGGAAATCGGAATTCTTCAAAAAGCTACATGAAATTTTGATGGACTATTTGGATTACAATATGATTTTAATGGGAGACATGAATGGTGTTGTATCTACGAATATGGATAAGGCGCAAAGACAAACAATCACCAAGGATGGAAGACTACCAAAACCATTTTTGATATGACTGAAAATTTAGACTTAATTGACATTTGGAGAATGAAGAATCCTCTGGGAAGAGAGGGAACTTTCTTCTCGGAGGCAAAAATGACATGGACAAGAATTGACCAAATCTGGGTAACTAGAGGACTGGCTCCAAAGATCAGCAAGGTTGAAATTTGCCCAAAGACCAGCTCTGATCATAATGCTGTGAAGATGGAAATGAAATTAATGCCAACTGGTTCCTTCAGATGGAGGATGAATGACTCTTTGTTTAGGAATGATGAATTTATTAAAAAGGCCCAAAAAACTTTGAAAGATTATTTTGAGATAAATATGAACACTACAGTGGAAAAAAGAGTAATCTGGGACGCAAGTAAAGCCGTAATGAGAGGTTTTTTGATACAACAGAATGCAATTAAGAAGAGAATGCAAAATGAGAAAAAAGATAAAATTTTGGAAAAAATAAAGGAAGGAGAGAAGAAACTGAGGGCGAAACCAAAGTCCCAGGAAATTTTAAAAGAAATAAAGCTTTACCAAGTACAATATATGAAAATGATGAATCAGGAAATAGAATGGAAGATTAAACAGATGAGACGAAAGACATTTGAATCGGCAAATAAGTGTGGGAAACTGCTGGCTTGGCAATTGAAAAAAAGACAAAAATTAAATACTATCACGAATCTGGAAGTGGAAGGAAAGAATATACAGAATCCAGCTGAAATTAGAAGGTGCTTCCAGAGGTATTTCAAACAATTATATACACAAGAAAAGCAGAATGAAATGGACATTGATAAATTTCTGGAAATAAATGGACTACAAAAAATTTCCCAAGAAAATAAATTAATGCTTGATTATAAAATAACGGATCAGGAAGTAGAAGGGGCCATTCAGAATATGCAATTAGGTAAATCTCCAGGACCGGATGGACTGACTTCTAGATACTACAGATCTTTGAAAGAATGGTTAATACAACCATTAAAGGAAGTCTGTAATGAAATATTGGAAGGGAAAAGGGCACCTGAGTCGTGGAAAGAAGCATACATTACACTTATACCAAAATTAGAGTCTGAAAAGACGCAACTTAAAAACTACCGTCCCATATCACTGCTTAATGTGGATTATAAAATTTTTGCAGACATTTTGGCTAAAAGATTTTAAAAGGTGCAAGCAGAAGAAATTCATAAAGACCAAGCGGGCTTTTTCCCGGGCAGGCATTTGTCTGATAATACGAGGAATATAATTAATATTCTAGAAAAGCTACAAGTGAAGATTAACACTAAAGCAGTTCTGATTTTTGTGGACGCGGAGAAAGCCTTTGACAATATTTCTTGGAGTTTTATGAAGAAGAATTTATCGGGGATGGGGGTTGGTAAAAGTTTTGGAAATGGCATAGGTGCAATTTACTCAGAACAAAAGGCTAAATTAATTGTGAATAACGTAGTGACGGAAGAATTCAAGATTGAGAAAGGAACACGACAGGGCTGCCCAATCTCTCCATTGCTTTTTATTTCGGTCCTGGAGGTTCTGTTAAATATGATTAGAAGGGACCAATTGGTTAAAGGTATACAAGTGGGAGCTAAACAGTACAAACTGAAAGCATTTGCAGATGACTTAGTATTGACTTTACAGGAGCCAGAATCAAGTACAAAAAGAGTATTAGAATTGATTCAAGAATTTGGCCAGGTAGCAGGTTTTAAGCTGAATAAGATGAAAACTAAGGTTCTGGAGAAAAACCTGAATGTGATTGAGAGAGAGAAGTTTCAGAGGGAGACAGGTCTGACACTGGTTAAGAAAGTAAAATATTTAGGGGTCAATATGACTGCTAAGAATGTGAATCTATTTAAGGATAACTATGAAAAATGTTGGACTGAAGTGAAAAAAGATTTAGAAATATGGTCAAATTTGAAGCTATCGTTGCTAGGCCGAATTGCTGTGATAAAAATGAATGTATTGCCAAGAATGTTATTTCTGTTTCAATCACTGCAAATTTTGGACAAAATGGACTGTTTCAAGAAGTGGCAGAGAGATATTTCTAGATTTGTCTGGCAGGGCAAGAAGCCTCGTATAAAATTTAAGATTTTAACTGATGCTAAAGAAAGAGGTGGATTTGCCCTGCCAGACTTAAAACTTTACTATGAATCAGCCGCTTTTTGCTGGCTGAGAGAATGGATGCTTCTTGAAAACACGGATGTTTTGGATTTGGAAGGTTTCAATAATGTATTTGGTTGGCATGCATATTTGTGGTATGATAAGGTCAAAGCACACAAAGCGTTCAAAAACCATATTGTAAGAAAAGCACTGTTTAATGTCTGGATAAGATATAAGGATTTGTTAGAAAATAAAACCCCAAGATGGCTGTCACCTATGGAGGCAAAGGCCCAGAAAAACTCAATATGGACTCCAAATGGCCGAAGTATTGGGAAATTTTGGAACAAGAGGGTGACAGATTAAAATTACAGAGCTTTGAAAAATTAAAAAACAGAGTGCGAGATTGGCTCCATTATTACCAAATAATGGAGGCATATAATCAGGATAAAAAACTAGGTTTTCAGGTGGAAAAATCAAAGCTGGAAACAGAATTGTTAGACCCTAAAGTTAAGAATTTGTCAAGAATGTATAACTTGCTGTTGAAATGGAATACTCAGGATGAAATGGTGAAATCTGCTATGATTAAATGGGCACAGGATGTTGGACATAATATTATGATGGCTGACTGGGAACAGTTATGGACCACTGGTATGAAGTTTACGGCATGCAATGCCTTAAAAGAGAATTTAATGAAAATGATTTACAGGTGGTACATAACACCAGTCAAGCTTGCAAAAATTTATCATTTGCCCGATAATAAATGTTGGAAATGTAATGAAATTGAAGGTACATTCTTTCACCTTTGGTGGACATGCCCAAAGATTAAGGCATTCTGGGAGATGATCTATAATGAAATGAAAAAGGTATTTAAATATACCTTTATAAAGAAACCAGAGGCCTTTCTCCTGGGCATGGTGGGCCAATTGGTGCCAAAGAAGGACAGAGTTTTTTTCATGTACGCCACAACAGCAGCAAGAATACTCATTGCTAAGCACTGGAAGACACAAGATCTACCTACCAGGGAAGAATGGCAGATGAAGCTGATGGATTACATGGAATTGGCGGAAATGACTGGCAGAATCCGAGACCAGGGAGAAGAGTCGGTGGAAGAAGATTGGAAAAAATTTAAAGTATATTTACAGAAATATTCTAAAATTAATGAATGTTAGAAGGATGCTGGAAAGAAGCTACATGACTTTAGTAGAAATACTATAAAGAATTAAGTATGAATAGATCAACATTGGGTAAAGGGGTAAATTTAAGGCTAAATTGTGTTAAGATAAATTATGGAACTAAATTTGAGGAAGAGGGAAAGAACTTGCTGGAATAATTAATTGAACTAGAATACAGAAAAGGAGGTGTGAGGAAGTCGAGGAAATAAGCAAATGAAAGATAAGGATATGAAAATACGGGGTCCTTTTTATTTTTGTTTGTTCTTTTTTGGGTTTTTTAAATGCTTTTGTTTTTTCTTTTTTGCCTTTTTTTGTATTGTTGATGTTTTGTATTACTGTATTTATTTTTGTTTCTGACGTTTTGTAATTGTTTATTGCTTGTATTTTTCTTTTGTTTCTCTTTTCTTTTTTTTTCTTTGTAATGTTTAAACTTTAATAAATATCTTATAAAAAAATATAATAAATCTAAAGTGTTCATAGTAGGTTTAATTTGTAAAGTAGCTTATTTATCGTGTATTACTGTAATAATATTATTCCCTGTGAACTCTCTTGTAATCCCTTTGCCTCCTTTTTGAACATTTTGTGTATTTCTTTGGAGAATAATAGAAAGTCATTTATAAGTTAATACTAAAACAGCAGCAGGGAACAACAAAAATACAGCAGAAATAATTTAAAAAAAACCTACAAAAACTGAAGAGTTAAAAACAGAAAATTACAAACCTATAATCTGGATGTAATAAATGAGAATAATTAATTTCAAATTCCTTTGGCCATTTGTTAGTGCTCTGTCCTCTGGATGTGACTCACCAGAGGGGTATGAGCTGTGAAATCAGTTCTCTAAAAGTCTTCTCTGAAAAAAGCTCATCTAGCTTCTTGTCTGCTGGCCTAGCAAAGGCAGATGGGTTCTATCTGCAGTCACCAGCAGGAAAGCACCTTGAGCCTGGTTGGGGCAGGATTTTGCTCTCTAGGTAACAAAAAATATGGAGGGAGGAAAAGGGAGCAAGTTGGGCACCTGCCTGGCAGCTTTGGGCTATTTTGCACAGACATGCTCATGTCAAGCTTGGCCAGCACAGACCTCAATGAACCTTGAAGGGTGGGTGTGAAAGTGCTTTCCCACTCCCTGGCAAGATCTCCTTGGATTTGATTAGTATAGGTGGCCTTAGCAAAAGCATCAGGAACCAGTTTGCCTTTTATGAACACCCCACATTCTACAAATAAACCAAGGTCCTACCTGTGCAGCAGATTGATGCAGCGCTGCCGCCAGGCATGCACACAAAATGAGCAGGATCATGGCTGAAAAGCAAAGAAACCAGGACACATTTGTCATCTTAACTGCAATATATCTATGCCACTAAAACACCCACCTTACCTGTGTAATTTGAAACTATGTGAGGGGGCCCCTTAGGGCTGAGCATGCCAGCTCTGTGCCCCTGCTTGCCATTTTCATAAGCCTCTGTAAGTTGGTTGACCTTCTGAAACAGGGAGCCTGCTTTACTCATTGAGTAAATTTCAAAGATCTGGCAGGTCCCTCTTCTCCCCACGAATAACAGAATCATCAGGTTGGAAGGGGCATAAAGATCATCTGCTCCAACCCATCCCTGATTTAGAAAACTCATGACTACAGCAGCACACTGGGCAGTCTAGCTAGAGTAGAGATTTCCTTCAGGGACCATTAAAGCGATTTGAGGCCTCTTCAGTAAGTCAAAATTTATTGTTTTGAATGACAGAATTTAGTGTTAAGAGAAAGTGTAAATATTTGACCGTGGTACAGCACAATCCTAACCATGTGTCCTCAAACTAAGGATGGCAGTCTTGGTTACTATGTGTCTAAGGCTTTGTCCACACTTCTACCTGTCCCATGTCTAGAAAGCACAGGTCCAAGTGGTTTTCCACTTGACCCACAATTTCTAGGCACAAATCTGAGCAGTTTCCCCCTTGCCCTGCTCCATTCCCAGGGAAAACCTGCTCTTTAGCTCCAAATTGGAACAAACAGCAGTTTGTGAGAAACCTGATTTCTATTTGCTCTGATTGTATGCTAAAGAGTAGTTTCCCTGGGGAAAAGTAGCAGAACAAGAGGAAGTGTAGATGAGCCCTTAGAGTTACAAAGAGAGGGCCTGGCTGAGAGTTCTCATGATCCATGGGAGAGAACACTTGTGCTATGTTTCCATGTGAAATTTTGGGAAATTGCCTGTTGCTACATGCAGCCTAATCTCTGAGTGGCAAGAGATTCCTGGGATGCCATTACTTATGCAGGGTTTAGTTTCCTTGGAATGAAGGTCAGCATATGCTCCAACATTTCCCAAGAAGAAATCGGGTCATCCTTCACCACCCCACTGTTGCTACAACCGCTGGCCAGCTCACACCATACCCGCCCTTCCTGCTACTGCTGCTCACTTGCCACCTTACCAGCTTGTGCATGTCCATGCCTGCCACTGCGTGCCACTGCACACCGCCACTCACCTGCCCGCTGCTGTCGCCTGCCCAATGCCACACACACACACACACACACACACACAGAGGGCTGCAGTGACGAATGTCCAGAAGTGGCCTTGTACTTCAGAATGCTGCAGCCCTGTGTGTGTGTGTGTGTGTGTGTGTGTGTGTGTGTGTGGTGGGCGGCAGCAGCTGGCCAGCAGGCAAAGGTGCGGAACCCCCTTGGCTGAAATCACAGGACATCCTGGGATGGAATCAGAACCTGGGGCAGCTTCTGTAATTCTGTAAGTCCCAGTAAAAACAGGACAGTTTGGGTCAGTGGAGACTGTGATATCTTTAGGATATGTGGGCTTTTTTACACATATATACAATCCAAGCATAGGATGAAGTGACTCATAGCATTTACACTGTAACAGATCTTGCCTCCTTGTTAGTTTCTGGGTGGGTGAGTATCCAAAACCATAATTTTGGATTCAGCCGAAAACAAGGGGAGCCTTTCTAAGTCCTTTCACCTCTTGGCTTACACTTAGACTATCCCTTGCTTCTTAGGATGACATAACACCCAGCCAGGAGAAGGCCCACTCCCCAGTCCTCCTGGAAGCATAGAATCATAGAATAGAATCATAGAATCATAGAGTTGGAAGAGACCACAAGGGCCATCGAGTCCAACCCCCTGCCAAGCAGGAAACACCACCAGAGCACTCCTGACATATGGTTGTCAAGCCTCTGCTTAAAGACCTCCAAAGAAGGAGACTCCACCACACTCCTTGGCAGCAAATTCCACTGTCCAACAGCTCTTACTGTCAGGAAGTTCTTCCTAATGTTTAGGTGGAATCTTCTTTCTTGTAGTTTGGATCCATTGCTCCGTGTCCGCTTCTCTGGAGCAGCAGAAAACAACCTTTCTCCCTCCTCTATGTGACATCCTTTTATATATTGGAACATGGCTATCATATCACCCCTTAACCTCCTCTTCTCCAGGCTAAACATGCCCAGCTCCCTTAGCCGTTCCTCATAAGGCATCGTTTCCAGGCCTTTGACCATTTTGGTTGCCCTCCTCTGGACACGTTCCAGCTTGTCAGTGTCCTTCTTGAACTGTGGTGCCCAGAACTGGACACAGTACTCCAGGTGAGGTCTGACCAGAGCAGAATACAGTGGCACTATTACTTCCCTTGATCTAGATGCTATACTCCTATTGATGCAGCCCAGAATTGCATTGGCTTTTTAGCTGCCACGTCACACTGTTGGCTCATGTCAAGTTTGTGGTCAACCAAGACTCCTAGATCCTTTTCACATGTACTGCTCTCAAGCCAGGTGTCACCCATCTTGTATTTGTGCCTCTCATTTTTTTTGCCCAAGTGCAATACTTTGTTAAAATTCGTCTTGTTTGTTTTGGCCCAGTTCTCTAATCTGTCAAGGTCGTTTTGAAGTGTGATACTGTCCTCTGGGGTGTTTGCCACCCTCCTAGTTTGGTGTCATCTGCAAATTTGATCAGGATGCCCTTGAGTCCATCATCCAAGTCGTTGATAAAGATGTTGAATAAGACCGGGCCCAAGACAGAACCCTGTGGCACCCCACTAGTCACTCTTCTAAGAGTGTTGTCTGTCTGGCAACACTTCCTTTCTGCGCCAACACGTCTAACAAGTAAATGGATGTCTACCAGCCCCATTATCGTATCAAAAGAGACAGGTTCAAGCAGCTCAGCAGATTCCCTCTACTAGATTCAAGAAAATCACAGGCTTGGCTCCAACATTTCCCAAGAAGAACTCGGGTCATCCTTCACCACCCCACTGTTGCTACCACTGCTGGCTGCGATCCAAGGATATAATCTAAACCACCACAACCCCAATCCTATAACAATATACATAATAAATCCTTAATGTAGAAGCCAGCTACTTGAGACAGAAAGACAGACACACACACACACACACACACACACACACACACAGAGAGAGAGATCACGAAGCAGCATATCACAGTAATTCAAATCTTTTGATGTTTTATCGCTCTCTCCCTCCCCCCACCCCCCACCTGCAGGTAAGAGAAAAAGGCTGCCACAGAGCAGTGATCCATGACTGCCCTCTACCACTCCGGCCTCTCCTAATAGTACACCAGAACTTTGTTTCCTTCTGAGCTGGGAACTGTAACTAAGTACTATAGGTAAGCAGGAATCTGTTTATTGTTCTGAGCTTGCTGTGTCATCATGAGCCCTCTGCAATGATCAGAGAACCTTTACTTCTGAATGGTTAATGCTAGTTATTTGTTCCGCTAGTGACATTTTTCATTAACCGAACTTGCTCTCCTTTGCAGCTGCTGATGGAGAGCTCTTTGAAAAAGAAGGGTTATAATAGGAATGAGTGGCAGTGGCCTTTAGTTCTTTTTTATTTTTAAAATGTGTCATCTACTGTTGAGGCTCTGAACACTTTGGAAATATTTTTGGAAAGCATAGTTTAATGTTTGGATAAGATACAAGGACTTATTGGAAAATAAAACCCCAAGGTGGCTGTCACCGATGGAAGCGAAAGCTCTGAAAAAGCTCAATATGGAGGTCAAATGGCCGAAATATTGGGAAATTTTGGAACAAGATGGAGATAGACTGAAATTGCAGAGTTTTGAAAAATTATAAACAAAGTGCGAGACTGGCTTCATTATTATCAGATAATGGAGGCATACAATTTGGATAAGAAAATCGGCTTCCAGGTGGAAAAATCAAAATTAGAAACAGAATTGTTAGAACCCAAAACTAAGATTTTGTCAAAGATGTATAACTTGCTGTTGAAATGGAATACTCAGGATGAAACGGTGAAATCTGCTATGATTAAATGGGCACAAGACGTTGGATATAACATAATGATGGCTGACTGGGAACAGTTATGGACCACAGGTATGAAGTTTACGGCATGCAATGCCTTAAGAGAGAATATTATGAAAATGATATACAGGTGGTACATGACCCCAGTCAAGCTTGCAAAAATCTACCATTTGCCCGATAACAAATGTTGGAAATGTAAAGAAACTGAAGGTACATTCTTTCACCTTTGGTGGACGTGCCCAAGGATTAAGGTTTTCTGGGAGATGATTTATAATGAATTAAAAAGGTATTTAAATATACCTTCTTGAAGAAACCAGAGGCCTTTCTCCTGGGCATAGTCGGCCAATCGGTGTTAAAGAAGGACAGAACTTTCTTTATGTATGCTACAACAGCAGCAAGAATACTTATTGCAAAGTATTGGAAGACACAAGACCTACCCACTCTGGAAGAATGGCAGATGAAAATGATGGATTACATGGAATTGGCGGAAATGACTGGTAGAATCCGAGACCAGGGAGAAGAGTCGGTGGAAGAAGATTGGAAGAAATTTAAAGACTATTTACAGAAATATTGCAAAATTAATGAATGTTAGAATGATGTTGGATTGAAGTTAAGTGGTTTCTAGCTGTAATGGTATAAGGGAATATGAAAAATGGATTATTAACAGGTAAAAATTTAATGCTATAATATATTAAGATAAAGATCAGGATAAAATAAGGAGGGAAAGGAATTGCTGAATTAATAAATTGAACTGGAATACCAAAAAGGCAGGTATGAGGAGGTCCGCGAAACAAGTAAATGAAAGATAAGTGATGAAAAGATGGAATTGTTTTTAACTGTTTTTTATTTTGTATTTTCTTTCTCATTATGTAATATTGTGAAAATTTTAATAAATATTTATTAAAAAAATGAACACTTTGGAAATATTTTGAAAGAGATACAAAATGTCAATAACAAGAAATTGAGAACAGGATCATTCCCCAGGACTTGTGTTATTTTTGGGTCTCCAAGTTAACAAGTTGTTGTGGTATTTATGAAGAAAAAGTCCTTGCTAGCACATTAAAACAGTAGATTGAGAGGTTTTTCTCCAGTGCAAATGCACAGGGCCACTTTTTTTCACTGAAAAATATTTCTGATCTATCCAGAAGCTTGTAAGTAGTAGATACATTTTTTAAAAAGGAGAAAAAAAGTTCAAGTTAAATAATCATATCAGTCCATCCTCATGGATAAAGAGTGAACTTAACCACAATTCTGGGTTTAGATTACTCACTAAGCCAAACCTTGGCTTAGCAGCTGTCCTGTATCAAATTAAAAAGCACCTCTTTGGGAACCAGCACATCCATGTGGCATGCTCTCCTCAGGGAGGCGCACCGGGTGCCTTTGTTACATGTCTTTAGGCACCAGGCAAAAACATTCATATTTGCTCAGGCCTTTGGCTAATTAAATCTATGACTATTTAAACTGTGTGTATACAGGTAGGAGGAACGCAGGTGGCGCTGTGGGTTAAACCACAGAGCCTAGGACTTGCCAATCAGAAGGTTGGTAGTTCGAATCCCTATGACGGGGTGAGCTCCCGTTGCTCGGTCCCTGCTCCTGCCAACCTAGCAGTTCGAAAGCACGTCAAAGTGCAAGTAGATAAATAGGTACCGCTCCAGCAGGAAGGTAAACGGCATTTCTGTGCGCTGCTCTGGTTCACCAGAAACAGCTTAGTCATGCTGGCCGCATGACCTGGAAGCTGTAAGCCGGCTCCCTCGGCCAATAAAGCGAGATGAGCGCCGCAACCCCAGATTCGGTCAGGACTGGACCTAATGGTCAGGGGTCCCTTTACCTTTATACAGGTAGGTACTGTTTTTGTTACTATGGTATGCATTTTTGTGTTATATTATAAACTGCCCTGTGTTGTCAGATGAAAAGTGGTAGGAATAATAATAATAATAATAATAATAATAATAATAATAATAATATGTCTTACTGGCTTACTGTGTGAACCAGGCCACTGTCCACTTTAGATCTTTAAATCTTTGCTCTTTTCAGCATTGCTACAGAGCCACCAAATCCAGTGGTGACAATACTATAGAACAGCATGGAACTTAGTGAAAATTAGTCTAGAAGGCAGAGGTCAAGGGGCAACCATCTCCAAGGCATCTTTAAGGCCAGTATGTGCAACCACATATATTTGGCTACTAATTTTTTTTTTTAAGTGAGAGGCACCACAGCATGACAGACTTGACTTCTAGACAAACGCAGGATGCTGCTGCTGCAATCTCAGTGCAAGCCACAGAGTCCATTGTCTCAGCCATACACAACTCTTACATCAGAATATTGCTGTGCAAAATGATTCAGAATCCATACTTCTTTCATT